TTGGAGACTTAGCTTATAATACCAGTTATTGGAAAATGCAAGATCCAATTATATCTTGCTTGAAGTCTTCCTATGGGCATCTGGCTTTCTTTGTGAGATCTTTTTCTTCAGTCCAAAATGTTTTTTATGTCCTTATAATGTTCAGTGTAGAGCAAGAAATAAGCCACTGAATACTTCATTACTCTAAAGTAAGTATAACCTGGCAGTGGAATCAGAGCAAGACCATGGCATTGAAAAGAGATAGGACTTAACCTTTTTACTCCCATACGTTCCTATAACTGTTTCTATTTACGAAAGTGGGAACACCAAATACCAATTACTAAATTTCTATAGCATGTTTAGTTTGGTTCCACTACTTTGGGGGAAAGTACCCTTAACTATCATTTTCTCTTTTTAGAAACCATATAAAATAATTTTGCTAACGCAAGGACTGTTCAAGGACTGGAAGTTATGTATGGTGTGGAAAATGAGAAATGTATCCCATAATCTGGAATTCAAGTTTTACAGTAACACTGATTGACCCAGAAATTTCAAAAGACAATACAGGTAGTCCTCGACTTATAACAGTTGAGACCAGAATTGTCATTGCTAAGCAAGATGGTTGTTAAGTGAGTCGTGCCTAATTTTATGAACATTTTTACCATGGTTGTCAAGTAAAACACTGCCATTGTTAAGGGAATCACATGGTTATTAATTGAAACCAGGTTCCCCTGGGTTTCATTGCTTATCAAAAGCCAATTGGGAAGGTCACAGTTGGTGATCAACTGACCCTGGGAGACAAATATATGTATGTATATGTATATGTATATGTATATGTATATGTATATGTATATGTATATGTATATGTATATGTATATGTATATGTATATGTATATNTATATGTATATGTATATGTATATGTATATGTATATGTATATGTATATGTATATGTATATGTATATGTATATGTATATGTATATGTATATGTATGTCAGCTGCTCCTGGGATGCTGGGATAGTAATTAGTGTAAGAATCAGTCATATTTTTTTCCAGTGGGCTTTTAATTTTAAACAGTCACTATATGAATGGTTGTAAGATGAGGAATACTTGTACTTCATACAAGCTGTAATTAATTCATGCAATTCATACCAAAAGAGGTGATGGTGACCATTGGTCTCAATTATTTAAGGTTTGTGTGGGGGAGTAGGGATGGGGAGACATTAGGTTTTATATTTAAATAGAATTTTTGTGTTACTACAACCTTTTTTACTACTTTTTTCTGTGGCTTGAGACTAAGGTACTTTCAAAGATATTCTGAGAATAAAAACTAAACAATAGTGATGGAGAAATGCTTTGGTCTGGGAAAATTAAAATCCTACTACTTTTTATTTTACCTCAAAAGGCCAAAAAGAGATTAGGAGCATTAAAGTGCAGGAGGTTTGTGGTTCCTTCAATTAAACATGATTGTATTATTAAGAAAAACAAAAAGTCGTTTGAATTAACCTACCAGGATCTTGCTGTTTGAGGTGAAAAAATGGGAAGAAAAGGCAAACATTTTCCACTGAACTGATTACCTGTTATTATTTTTTGTCAACAAAACATTTCTGAACTTTGATTTAAATAAGTCTAAATAGTTTGTAACATGTAGCTTCCTGTTTTGCAATCTTCAGGTCCCAGAGATCAAACTGCCAAATTTCTATGAGGAAAAAAATGGCAAGGAAGAGGAGTGAAAGTTTAGTGCTACTTTTCTGTATGGGAAAAAAATACATAACTGAAGTTGCTTTCTCTAAGTCTCACAAAACCAAGCCACTCTACAGTGTCAGGCCTACAAAACTCCCAGAAATACTAACTCGTCAAGCTTCAATGATTTAATGGAATACCTGCATCCACTCTAGCCTCCCTCAAATAAAACACTTGCTTGCTTAACCTCAGCCTCAATCTTGAACTACAGAGCAGTTGCTTGCTCTGTAAGCAAACAGAGCAAATCTTTGGGAATAAGAGACTTTGTGCTAACATTGCTAATTATACAGCCCTGTCAACTTGTCTTAGCCCAGACAAAATTATAGTGGATCTCTTCTTCCTAGCCATAAAGCTTTTCCTCAGAGTGCATTTTCATCCAGTTCTTGAACAGGCAAAAAAAAAATATAGTTTCATAATTGGTGCTACTTTCATAGCTAAACTCTAATCTGTGTCTACAGAACAAAAGAGATTGATGATTACATCTATCCTTATATACCCCTTACATCTGTGGGACAATTTAAGGGCAATAGTTGGTGGATTTCTCTGGGTTTATTTCTGCCCACTTACATGGTGGGCAGAAATGGTGGGGTAGGCTTGGGGGAAGACGGGCAGCATAGGATGGATAGATAAGAGAGAGGGAGGGAGGGGAGAGAGAGGGGGAGAGAGAGAGAGGGAGGGAGGATAGATGGATGGATGGATGGTAGATAATGGATGGATGGATAGATATTGAAAAGGGTGGGGGAGTATCAGAGATGAAACAGCAGGTTGCTAATGTACAGCTGCTTCATCAAAACAATCTGTTTGTGACTGCCACAGAATACAGGCCTACTGGTCTTTTGGAAGAAGGATTTGTGAGGAGCATTAAGTGTACTCCTGCCTTCCCATTTCCTCCAACTCTAACTATAATAATACAATACAATAGCAGAGTTGGAAGGGTCTTCTAGTCCAACCTCCTGCCTAGGCAGGAAACCCTATACCGTTTCAGACAAATGGCTATCCAACATCTTCTTAAAGACTTCCAGTGTTGGGGCTTTCACAACTTCTGGAGGCAAGCTGTTCCACTGATTAATTATTCTAACTGTCAGGAAATTTCTCTTCAGTTCTAAATTGCTTCTCTCCTTGATTCTCTCCACCCATTGCTTCTTGTTCTACCCTCAGGTGCCTTGGAGAATAGTTTGACTCCCTCTTTTTGTGGCAACCCCTGAGATATTGGAACACTGCTATCATGTCTCCCCTAGTCCTTCTTTTCATTAAACTAGACACACCCAGTTCTTGCAACCAATCTTCATATGTTTTAGTCTCCAGTCCCCTAATCATCTTTGTTGCTCTTCTCTGCACTCTTTCTAGAGTCTCCACATTTTTTCTATATCGTGGCAACCAAAACTGAATGCAGTATTCCAAATGTGGCCTTACCAAGGCATTATAAAGTGGTATTAACACTTCACGTGATCTTGATTCTATCCCTCTGTTTATGTAGCCTCGAACTGTGTTGCCTTTTTTGGCAGCTGCTGCACACTGCTGGCTCATATTTAAATGGTTGTCCACTAGGACTCCAAGATCCCTCTCACAGTTACTACTATTGAGGAAGGTACCACCTGTACTGTACCTGTGCATTTCATTTTTCTTGCCTAAATGTAGAACCTTACTCTTTTCACTTTTGAATTTCATCCAAATCATTTATGAAGATGTTGAAGAGTACTGGGCCCAAAACAGAGCCTTGGGGTACTCCACTACATACTTCCCTCCATGAAGATGCAGTTCCATTGTGGATTACACGTTGAGTGTGGTTGGTCAGCCAGTTATGAATCCATCTGGTGTTGATGCTGTCCAACCCAAATTCTTCTACTTTATCTAGTAGTAGGTTATGGTCTACCTTATCAAATGCCTTACTGAAGTCCAAGTAAACTATATCAACGGCATTCCTCTGGTCCACTAATTTTGTCACTTTGTCAAAGAATGCAATAAGATTAGTCTGGCATGATCTGTTTTTGACAAACCCATGTTGGCTTTTGGCTATTACTTTGGTTACTTCTAGGTGTTCGCTAATTCATTGATTGATTATCTTTTCCAGAATCTTTCCTGCTTTAAGGTCAGGCTGATAGGTCTATAGTTTCCTGGATCTATTTTTCCCCCTTTTTTGAAGATGGGAACCAAATCAGCTCTTTTCCAGTCCTCTGGCAGTTCCCTGATGCTCCAGGATCCGTACAGTCCTGGTGAATTTAACTTGTCTAGGGTAGACGGGTGCTCATTTACCATTTTCTTCCCTATTTCAATCCTAATCTGATTTTTATGGTACTGTTTTTGATAGGTTGGACTGTTTTATCCCTTTGTGTAAAGACAGATGCAAAATAATGAGTTAAATAGTTCTGCTTTCTCCCTTTTGTGGCAAGCCTTTCTTCATTGTGAGCCTTAGCTTTCCTTACTTCATATTTACAGGGTCGGGCTTTTTGCTGATATTCTGCCTTAGTTATAACTGTAACCCATCACTTGGGCCAGACACCTAACCAAACTCATTTCAATTTCTCTTCAGCCCTCAATTTAGTCTACTGCTATAATTGTCTCAAATGCTAAGCACAATGAGAAACCAAAGACTCCCTGTGGTACTTATGGAAAATTGGATAGGGAAAACAGCACTCCTTCCCATGATAAAAATACTAAAAAGACATTTATTTTCTTGTAAGAAGCAGCAGCAGAAAATTGGAACGTACTCATTTGGAATGAGTATGTGATGGATGCCATTTGGAAAGCCAAAGCGATGATGTTAGAGAAATAGTTACAAAGAAGTAAAATTTAATGAAATATAGTTTCAGGCAAACTTGTTGCATCTGTTTCCTGGCCTCGCCTACCGTAAAAGTCTGATGAATCACAAAATACCCATTTATAGAATGAGAACTTGTTCCCAAGAACAAGTGCTATCATTCTCAAGGATTTTTAGAAGTTCATCTTGACGGGCATTGTGAGAAGTGTCTACGTTGTCCAAGGGATCCACATTACTTCCTTGGACATAAGCCCAAAAGAAAACAAACATCTTCCCCAATTTTGCATATGCAGTTTTGCCACCTATATGACGGAATCATGATTGGTGTCACTGTCCCATCCATTTCAGCCTTTCACTTCCCCATAACCATTGTGCAGGCCTCCAGCTTCCCCGGGGTTGCCTATACCTGGGTGAAAGGAGCCCACTGCAGTCAAATGGGGGTGGTGGTGGTGGTGGTGCTCAACTCAGTCATTTGATAACTCACTTCTCAGTTTACTTGCTTTGACCTTCCAATGTTTTACAGGCATCAGCTATTCAGACACGGTGAGTGCCACTGAGCCATGCAAGCCTTGTAAGGAGTGTGTGGGCCTGGAGAGCATGTTGGCTCCTTGTGTGGAATCGGACAACACCATCTGCAAATGCATCTATGGCTTCTATCTGGACGAGAACAATAATTGTAAAAAGTGCCGCATCTGTGAAATAGGCTACGGGCTTGTCTATCCTTGTGGGGAAAATCAGAACACGTTGTGTGAGAAATGCCCGGCGGGGACGTATTCTGATGAAGCCAACCATGTGGACCCCTGCTTCCCTTGCACAGTGTGTGAGGAGGATGAAATCATTGAGAAGAACTGTACTCCAACTTCAGACGCCAAGTGCAGAGGTAATTATACGTTTCTAAAATGGCGGTGGTGGGGAGAAAATGGAGCTAAACAATGTGCATAATCCTGCTATGGAGTAGCACAGATCCTGCCCCTTCCTAGCTGATATTCAGAAATAGGCAACTAGCGTTATGCTTCAAGCAATGAAGTATGGATGGGGGTTCAGCAAAATGTCCTTTGGATAATGTTCTTGGTCCCCCGTCCCCCCCGAAGGCTATCCTGGTTTTCTCCCAGTGTAGTCCTGAGTTGTTGGGAGTTTTTTCCTCCATCACTCTTTACATGTATGTTATGCAGTGGTGGGTTGCTCCCTGTTCGGCCTGGTTGAGCCGAACCGCTAGTAGCGACGGCGGGAGGCCCGCCCGCCCACCAAGACGCTTCTGCGCAGAAGGTTAAGGAAAGGAATATGCTGATTTGTTCTTTTCTTTTTCTTGCTGTTTGAATGTCCAAATAACAAAACAAATGGTAGAGCCATTTGGAATGATCAGCTACAAGGAAATTCTGGTGGTCCCCAGTGGGAGGATGGGGATGTCCAGTGGGTGAGCACACATTAAAAATGAAATTATGTTGCCTGCTCTCAAAAGTGTAAACATACATAACACACATATACACATGTTATATACATACACAGATACAGAAACAAACAAACACACAAACATACACACAACACACACAAACATATATCTCACTGTCCTTCTTGCATTCATATCAGAAAGAGGAAATTTGGGAGTTCACAAGGTTGATACTATATGGATACTATATATATATATATATACAGCCCATCTTGCCAGGTCAACTTTTTTTATACATTTAAAACGTCTAGAAAAGGGTGCCTGTAATCATAGAACTGAAACTGAAGAGATTTATGTATGTATTAATCTTTTTAAACCTGCCCTTATTATTTTTAGAAATAATTCAAAGTGGTGAACATACTTAATAATCCTTCTTCCTCCTATTTTCCCCACAACATCCTTTTATGTGAAAGGTGGGACTAGAACTCACAGTCTCCTGGTTTCTAGGCCAGCACCTTAACTAGTACAACAAATATCAGAATTCCTGAACACATGAGATATTGACATCCATGTGCACATAAAGAAGATTGAGAATGGTGCTGTAAAGTGAAATAGCTTAAGGACCACACACTATTGAGCAACTCCTTTTTTCCTCCATATACACAGGACAATATTTGCAAGAAACTTCATAGTGAGATCATGAATTTCACTCAACATTGTACTAATATTTCTCCCTAGTGGAATGCAAAGGAAGTTAACAGTCCCTGATGTCTTTTGTTCCTGATTCTTCAAAAAATCATTCTCAAGTTTATGTTTCGACTGGATAAACAAATCAAATCAGAAGTGGAAACATATTGTGTAGTTGCATAAATATACGCAAAGATATATAGCCAATGACATGCCCAATTCAACCTCCACTGATGAGAGGTGGCTATGATTACAATTTTCCATTTACAATTTTAATTTTTTTAATACGCTCATGAAGCTAAAGCATATCCTCCCCCACAAGTCCCTCCTTCCCACATATTATCAGTCTCCCAGCACTATTTTTTCCTGAAATATATGCAATAAATGAAAACAAAATCACCCAAGATGCATTCCTTTTTTTGGGACTTCCCAAACAGTTGTATGTTAACTATCAGAAGAGGAATGTGGTGGCTTGCGTGGTTAGGATGCTAGGATTGAGGTCAGCAAGCTCGTGTTGGAGAACCAACTGCTTCTGTGGGGCAGGGTTGAACTCCCATCCTTCGCTCCAAGTTCTCCAAACATGAATGGAGGCACCCAACTAGGCATCCCGCTGGCAATGTTGATGTCACCAGCTAATTCTTTCATCCTGGAAGCTCTTCGGTGCTCCTAACATGAGTGCAAACTCTCAGAATTGTTCTCCCCTGGGCAGAAGCTGAAGCCCATCTTTTGACATAAACATAGAAGCAGATTTGTTTTGCTTAATCCACAGAGGGATGAGTTTTTCCCGTGACTGATAACACAACAAACAGAAATCAACCTGCTCTCTTCTTGCTTCCTAAGTATGTTTTGACTTGCTTCAAGGGAAATGGCAAACTGTACTGTAATAATAGGGTGCAATTCTGAACTTAGCAACCAGTGCCAACATTAGAATTGGAGGACTGTTTGGAAACATATTCTTAAAGACATTCCCCTTTTGATTGGGCTTGCTGTCATCACTATTGTACATATGACCTCTCCTTGTTGGTCCAACCTCTGTCATTGTGTGAATGACAGGATAAGGCTAATAGACACTTGTTTGCCTCCTCCTCTTCCTCCTGAAGGTTAAAACATACAATGAATGGTTGCAGGAACTGGCACGGCTGTTCTAGTGAAGAGAAGGACCAGGGGAGATATGACAGTAGAGTTCCAATATTTGAGGGGCTGCCACAGAGAGAAGTTCAACCTATTTTCCAAAGCACTGAAGGCCAGATAAAGAATAATGGGTGGTAACTGAACAAGGAGAGATTTAACATAGAAATAAAGAAAAATTTTCTGACAGTGAGAACAATCAACCAATGGAACAACTTGCCTTCAGAAGTTGTGGGAGCTTCACCACCAGAAGCTTTCAAGAAGAGACTGGACTGCCATCTGTCAGAAATGGTGTAGGTAGGGTTTCCTGCTTGGGTGTGGGGGTTGGAGGTGACCTACAAGGTCCCTTCTAACTCTGTTATTCTGTTATTCACCCTACTGGCTATTTGGCTATGTGCTTGGCTTTGTCTAACAAACAGCTGATAATAGCATAGAGAAGATTTGGGCAGGATCAATAGTGGATTCTCTTCTGAAATGTGGATGGTGAGTTCTGGCATGGAAATGACTGTACAGTTTTTGGTACTAGTCCTCTTATTTATTTATTTATTTATTTATTTATTTATTTATTTATTTATTTATTTATTTATTTATTTATTTATTTATTTATTTATTTATTTAATTTGTATGCCGCCCACTCTCAAAGAGACTCAGGGCGGCTTACAAGTAAAAAAGGGAGGGGGACATACAAAAAAAATAAAAAAACATTAAAAATTCAACAACATTCATAACTTAGTATGGGGCTGGATACATCAACAGCCCCAGGCCTGCCGGAACAGCCAGGTCTTAATCGCTTTGCGAAAGGCCGGAAGGGTAGTAAGGGTCCGGATCTCAACGGGAAGATCGTTCCATAGGGCCGGAGCAGCAACAGAGAAGGCAGATTGGCAGATCCCACTTTCCCCTTTTTTTCTCAACCATTGAAAAAGAGACTATATATTAAATGTGCCATTGTATCCATCTTCTCTGTAATCTTAGCTATGTCCCATTATCTAATGCTTGCTTATTAAGTCATTAGAATATTTATTGGGATTCTCAGAATCCCAATGATTATTTGATGTGTTGTATTTCTCATAGTGCAAAGCAAATATTTGACAGTATAAAACAGAGCATGGAAACCAATCTTTTTGCTTGGCAACATTTCTATTAAAAAGATAGGAATTCCAATATGAGATTGATTTCATGTCATCCCAAGCCTTCACGCATGGCCCAGTTTGCAGAATAGTAGCAAGCAGAGTTATTATCAAAATACAGACATATACATATTTATTTATGGAAGAAAGAGCAATGGGAAGTGGGTAGGGGTGATTTGCAGAAAAAAGATAACAAGGAGAAATGGCTAAGAAATACCTCTTCAAGGTATCTCACTCTTAAGCTTTATTTTGAGGCTGTAGAAATTGAATGTAATAAAACAGTCACAAGACAAACAAACAGAAGATAAAGATAATCACCTACTATGTTCACACTTGTGCTAAGTTATAGTGTGGTTTAACTGTTTGTAATTCAGTGTCTGAACACAGCCATTGTGGTTTTGATATCCAGGCTTAGTGTGAACCGAGCCAAGTGTGGTCTCTCCAGTAAGGCATGGTTAAACAGAAGAGTTTTGACTTTGAGCCGTGGGGAAAAATCAAAGCTGACTTAAACAAAATTACAGTTCTATGCCCACTACTGTATCTGAGAATAAAACAATTGTGTTTATATGATAAATGCCAGAACTGATGTGGTTTGATTTGCAAGCTGGTTTTGATCCCAGCTGAGCAAGGGAGTTCCTGGGCAGTCTTCAACAAGCTTAACCTTCCCAGTGTTTGTTATGCTGATCTTTTTTTTCAAGATCGCTATGAAGGTTTCTGGCACTCCAATTTCACTGATTCAGATGCAACAACTCCAATCTGAGAAACAGTGATACTACAGACAGATATAAATCTTGTCCCTGCCCACTTTCTCTTTCCCCTTCCTTCACGGCTGGTATTGACAGTATGACTCCTCAGGGTAGCACTCAGGGTAACAGTGGGATCCGAACATATTAAAAGTATTTTTTTTAAAAAAAGAAGGCCAAAATCTTTTTACATAATGATTTTGAGTTAAGTGAATGAACAAAAAGAAAATATAAATGCAATATCATCAGTATTTGTGAAATTGTACAACTTCAAAAATCGGAATGAAAAAGGAGGAAGAGGCTAGAAAAATAAGTTGTAAATAGAACAACTCCAAAAACTGACCATTTTTCTCAAAAGTCTTCTCTTTGGGTATAGCTAAGAGAAACAAATTGATTTTTAGCATACTATTTGTTTACTTATTTATCTATTGGATTTTTACTTCATTTTCATTCTGACTTATGTTGACTTTCAGCAGCCAGAACATCTATGGTTAAATATAGCAGTAATGCAGAGTGACATGTTCAATCCTCCTTGTTGCAGTTCCTAATGCAGCAATATTAGGATAAAATAAAATATGAATTGTTTTTCTAACTTTTGAATTACAACTCCAAGAGTAAGGTGATTTTAACTACGCTTTATTGAAAAATTTCTGAGGTGTCCTGCATCCACAAATATTTTTGTTGTTTTAACATTTTAAGATGATAAAATATTAATTTCACATTATTTACAGTGATCTTCTATGAATTTACAGAGATGGGACATTATGCCTGTTATTTATGTGCATAAATAAAATAAATATCAATTTCATCATTTTTCTTCAGCTTTTTTATAAAAATGAGGTTTTGGCTTAGGAGCCACTATTAATTTTTCCAAAACCTCTAATTACGGTATAATTTCTGAGGCAGTGATAGCATCTGGATTAAATAAACCAAATAGCAAATGATTAAACTGAATATATTTCCAAGAACATTCAATAAAAACTTTTTTAAATTTTATGTTAAAACAGTTTCCTTGATCCTAATTAATTATGTTGTGACAAAGCTGGTTTATCACAAGCATTGTTTAAAATGCTTAATATAAGTTTCTGAAGGGTAACAAGTCAACATAATGTTTGTTACCAGGTAATTTTCATCTATGCTTTGCAACATTAAATGTAGATATTGAAGATATTAAATGTGGATATTGAAATAAAATATAAACAAGGTTCTCAGTATAGTATTGGCCAGAATTCAATGGGTTCAAGTAATAAATCTTGGTTGAACTAAAGAAGACTTGAATATTGAAGTTCTTACAGCCAAAACCCAAAGCTGGATTAAATGCTAATGATAATACTGAAAGTATAGAGAATTAAATCTTACCTTTCTCTTTGTTTGCATCCTTCCGTTATTATTTTTATAAATATCTCAAAATGGCAAACAGATTTAATGCAACTGATAGTTGTCATTTGTGAAATGAAGACTCTTCAAAAATATCTATTTGGTGTTCTTAAAATAATGGAATGGAATAAATGTAAATCAACCCCAAAGGCTAAATTCTGGCAGACACTTTTATGTTCTTACTCAGATTCCCAGGAAATTTCAAAACTTTTTTCATTTTTTTTTTCATGCCTCCAGTTTCTTAAAATCAGTATGTTATATCATGCTTTGGACAAAAGCCCTTAAAGTGTAGTTTCCAGAGGTGAAATCAACTTACCTTCGCTACTGATTTGCAAATGTGAGCGCACTGCCACCTCTGCACATATCCACGACCTTCTGTGCATGTGCAGATTATCAAAAACGGGGTGTGATGAGGTCCGGCCGAATCCTTCTGTTGCCACTGCTACCAGTTTGCCCAAACCAAATAGAACCGACTGAATTGCCTCAGTAGTTTCCCAGTTTAGATACCATAGGATACTCAGGCAACATTAAGTACTGTACTTTGTAAATTGATTGTAAAGAGAGGCCCACAAGACTGGACAGTTTCTTCTAGGTTGTTTATAAGGAGGATTCTGTAGAAAGAACCTCCTCAAAATATATTGAGCTTAGCATTCAGAACAGTTTTACAAAGTACTAGAAGTTTCTTTTTTTTTCATTCCTATGTTATTACTTTGGTTCTTCTTTTTTGTGAGCTTGCAAGGGAAGCACTCTTGTTTATTTCCTTTTTCCTTTTTAGATTTTTATAAATCCTGCCTTTATTATTTTTATAAATAACTCAGGGTAGCAAACGTACGTGATACTCCTTTCTCCTCTTTTCCCATGCTACAATAACTCTATTACGTGAGTTGGGCTGAGAGGGAATGACTGGCCCAAAGTCACCTAGCAGCTTTCATGCATAAGATGGGACTAGAACTCTCAGTCTCCGGTTGCTTGGCCCAAAGTCACCCAGCCAGCTTTCATGCATAAGATGGGACTAGAACTCTCAGTCTCCGGTTGCTTGGCCCAAAGTCACCCAGCCAGCTTTCATGCATAAGATGGGACTAGAATTCACAGCCTCCTGGCTTGTAGCCTAGTTTCTTAATTACTAGAACAAACTGGCTCTCTTTGAACTAGGATTGTTACAACAGAGCCAGCACTATGTTATTAATTTGACTTTCCATAGAAATCATGCTCTCACAAGGTTTGACAATGGAGATTGGTTTATTTGTTTGTTTGGTTAATTAGTTAGTTAGTATATAGCAATAAAAGTGGAGGAATTTACAAAAATAACTGGAATAGCATCTTTGGTCATATGTAGCCAAGCAGGGCAGAATTGTAGAAAATTGGAGCAAAGAACTTCCAAAGATACCACAATCAAGTCAGTGGCACCAAATGTAACTTTCAAATAAAAAATGGACATTCTTTACCTTTTTAGAGAAGAGAACAAAATGCTAATTTCTAGCCAGTGGATAGAAAGAATTACCTTTCTATCCATTGGCTGGAATGGATTACCTTTCTATCCATTGGCTGGAACATTAGTTTTCTGAAGATGAGTCAGGAATCAGTATTGCTCTGACGTCAGCTGTTTCCAAGGGGAGAAAAATTGTGCAGGCTGCAGGGCAAAAGGTTCAACCGTTCCCTCAGGCATGGCCAAATTTCATAAAAGCCACTCAAGGAAAAGGAGCGGCAGCCTACAGTTGAATAAGAAACTCTTCTCTCTGTGTGGCAATTGGGTTTCTTCTTTGGAATGAAACAATCAAAAGGCAGAGCTTGCTCCACCCAGACACCCACATAATGTTAAGTGGCAAAAGGTGCCAGAAAGAATATTTCTTATGGAACAAGTTTTTTTTTTCTTTTCCAAAACCTCCATCACATTTAGAGCTACTATAGCAGAGTTTCTCCATTTTGGCAACTTTAAGATAGGTGGACTTTGGCTCAGAACTCCCAGCCATGAAAGTCGCCATGGTTGAGAAACCCTATGTTACAGATTATCTTGAAAAGAAGGAACACATTTCTCAAGATATTGTGTGGGATTTCTGACTTTCTAAGGACCACCTATCTTGTTTGAATCTGATTTACCAGCAAGGTTTCCACAGGGACTAAGATCAGAAATGTTGAGAAAGAGCTTTCTGCTTCCTCCAGAGCTATGATTGCTTACCTTTCTCTTAAAAAAAAAACAAGCACATCTTGACCTTTAAAATTGCTCCTGTATTTTATTGGTGTAATGGTTTTTGAATAGTTTCACTCTGTGATTTGATTGCTATCTTATTTTAATTTGTTTTGGTTCTGAACAGGAAAAATGATATATATGTATATTTTGTTAGCAAAATGATTTATTACTGTAGGGGAAGGGGAAGTGATCTGTTCAGGATTGTTCAAATATCCCTAATGTGGCAGTCTGTATTTATTGCAGATTAGCTTAAATGGCAGGACATCAAGTTACTTAAGGCAATAAAGCAAACTGTGTAGCAAAATGAGAATCCTTCACATCTGCCACTTCTGCCTGCCTTCTGAAATGGTGTCACATCTCTGACCTTCTCATCTGTTTGTTGCAAGAATTATGGTGTGATGAGAATTTCTGTGTATTCACATCTGCTTCGTATCTTAAATCTTTAGTTAATTGTGATTCATTTCTAAACTTCCCAATTGCCACAATTTCTCATTCTCTTTTTACTAAGTTATTCCTGGTTTTCTTGGCAGCAATTAATCCAAGATTTGCGATGACAACCAAAGTCCCGATGGATCCCAGTGATACCAGTGATAGAAATGCAGACGCAAATACAGATGTAATCGTAGGTATGGAACACGGTACCTTGTTTTTCTTTTCCTACACAGCTGAAATAGTTCTTCATTTGCTCAATTGATCTAACTCTCATGAGGGCTTTACTTGACTTCATGCAATAAATAAAACCACAAACTAAAACAACATTTTGGAACCACTCATGGAGGTATTATTCCAAAATTTTTCTGGAGAGAAGCCATAGATGTAAATTTACCAATAAAGATCAGATTTAGATTTATCACTTTATGGTGACTTCTTTCCTATCTTTAGTATTTCCAACTGGTAGTCATAGGAAGGAAGTGTTTAAGCTCACTGGTACTAGCAGGTTTCACAGACCTCAAGAGTTCTACCTTATGTTACTTAACAGAGCCCTCCCCTATTGTATTGTCAAGTTGTTGCCTTGACCACTACTGTAGTAGGCTTCTGATCCAATTATAAAAGTGCTGGTTATTACATTTAATAGATGTAACACAGGGACATATCAGGCAACATCTTGTCACTCTTGAATCTGCCTGTCTGGTCCTTACATCATGAGCGGATCATTGAGAGTTCCCTTCCTCAAGAGGTAGATAAATCTTGGGACAGGTGGCAAACCTTCTTGGTAGTGGCTTGCATTTTTGAATCTCACTTTTCCTGAAGTTACATATGATCCCTACTGTTCTTATATTTCATAAGCAAGTAAAACCAACCCATCTTCCAAAAGCCTTTGGCCCCGGTTGACTGTGGGTATCTACCATAGGAACTTTACTGACTTAATGATTACATTGTCTTGATGTTTTCTTTTCTTTCATTTTTGATTCTATTATCAGTGGTTCATTCTGCAGAGTCCCTCCAGATTGGAGCAGCTATAAGCCTTGTTAAATAAACAAGCAAAATCCTTTTGAGGGAATTACATTGTTTCAGCAAAGATGGGGTGGGAACTTTTGATCATGTTCACACTCGCTTAATTACTGAAATGTTAATTAAGTGATACATTCCTAATTGTCTCACAGTTTTTCACTCTCTTTTGTTAAGTTCTTCCTCCTTGTTTCCTTGGCAGCAACTAATCCACAATTTGCAGTGGCAACGAAGACCCCGATGGATTCCAATACCAGTGATGCAGAACCAAATGCATACATAGATATAGAGCATGGTATCTTGTTGTCTTTTCCTTACACTGCTGAAACAGTTCCTAATTTCCTTAGTTGGTCTCACTCCAACAAAGATCCTACTGAAATCCTTGACTGCATACAATAGTTAAGACCACAGATTATAACAACATTTCTGAGCCCTGTGGGGATTATTATTCCTAAGCATTTTGGAAGAAAGCCATATAAGTGAAAAGTATAACTAACCGTTATAGTTTTATTTGCAGCTAATATGGTATGATGTGATTGCAAGTACTAACAGAATCAGTGATCTCATTTGGAGCCAAAAAGAGAACTTCCTTTAATTCCCAGTATAGAAATGTTCCTCCAGCTTTATTTCATTCTAGAATTTTAGAATGCTTGCGATAAATATGGATATATTCTATTTGCCTTCCCACCAGGATGTAAGAGTGTTTAAGAAATTTTGACATGAATTAGATCACTAACTATTTGCAACTATATAAGTAAAAAAAAAAACCATTTGTATATTTCTATTTCATAAAAAAGGGTGTTTAAGCCCCAAGGGAATTTTACATTTCCAGAAAGCCAAACACTTTGATGCATGAACTGCCCTGGTGATAAAATCAATCAACAAATGATTTTTCAACTTTAACTCAAAGATGGGGAATGTGGAGTGACCTAATTATCCAGCATTATTCCAGAGTGATTGAAACTACATTCCAATACCTACTTACTAGTGATTAAACCTCGTAAAACCCAAAGGACTTTCTTATTAGGAGACATTATATGAATGCACGATCTAATAAATATTTGCATATTGTTACACAAAGCTCTGATTTTCTATAGAGACCTGAATCTGTGTTGCTGTTGTGGTGGTTTAGATCATTATCCACCACCCAAATTCAGGAGCTTAGGTAATAAACATTTCCTTCTCTCTCTTTTCTCTACCACAAACCTGTGTGATAGGCTGGATAGGAAAAGGTCCAAAGTGTAAACTTGAATCTGAGATTTGAATCTGGATTCCCCAGCACTAGCCAACATCTGAACTATTGGCTTTTGGATCATTAATATTATATGTACAACAAAGGGATACAGATTAATCTAAATGCAGCCTCATTTTTGCATATCGTTTCCACAATTATTCTTCTGTTTTTTTACCTTTCCAGATTTTTACCCAGGGACTCCCAAAAGTCCCTTTCCTGTTACAAATTTTTCAGAGACTCTGGATATTTCGGAGACCACTGTAATGAGCACCACAATGACCACTGTTATGGGCAGCTCCCAGCCTGTCATTAGAAGTGGGACAGCTGATAACCTCATCCCTGTCTACTGCTCCATTTTGGCAGCTGTGGTGGTGGGTCTGGTGGCATATATTGCCTTCAAGAGGTAAGTAGCAGAGACGGTCCACAAGACTAGTGTGCAGGAGAAATGTTGTGATGGACGAGCAGTGACAGGCAGTGTCTAAAATTGATCTCGCTCACTGACTAGATGTCCTTCAGTTGTTTAAACTACTTCCTGTACCTGTTCTAAGGATGCAATTTTGGTTGACCATAGTGAAACAAATTCATGACTAGCACATTTTGCAGTTAAAACTATAAACTCCAGCATTACCAATGACAATATGATGATTTGCATCCAATTCTCATTTTCCTTTCAAGAAAATAGTGTGTAAAATATCATATCATTGACTATACTTGAACAGTCCTCTAGAACCTAAATACTGTTGCCTTCCTGCAACCCCACATAATTTGCAAGCAGGGGAGGCTAAGAGGCAAAGGAGAAAAAGGTAGCAGTGGAAGAGGAAGCCACTTTGTATGTGCTTACAACAGATGCACATTTTTCATACAGTACTTCAAGCATATTTGACCTTTAAATATAATTCCAGGGACACTCAAGAAAGTAGATGGGGATAGGATGCAATTAATTTGATTTATTTTCATGTGATGATTATTTTTCATATTTTAATAATTTCTAATAAGAATCTTTTGGTGAAGTTCAGGGGCCATGTCTCTGGCGTGCTCTAGAGAAGAATGGAACCATTCTTTGTTCCCATCCTCCTTCTACCCGTATTTTACACCCTTCCCTTAAGCGATAGACATCTTTATAAAGACAAATGGATATACTTCAATCATTTCAGAACTGGCCACATGCAATTATCCTTGAATGGCAAGGATGAATATCCTCTAGAAATAACTATTCAGGGTTGAAATTTGTAAGTAGTTGTTATTAGAAATTAGATCCTTTTCAGTGTCAATCCAGAAACATTTTGCCTTTGAGATTGCCAATTTTTAAGTGGCTACTCTACACATATGGCCATAAAAGAATGGGAAGATGATAATGATTATATCCATGCTATGAATCCCTGGCTGACTCCTATAGCTCAAGTGGTTGATAAAGGCATAGAAGCAAGCCAAAAGTAAGTTGGTTTGATGTTTTTTTCCTATGATTGATAGGCATTACTCATTTTTTGCATGAATGCTGATTTCTATTATAAGATAAAATCTATTATTTTATATCTCAAACTTCTATCTATCTATCTATCTATCTATCTATCTATCTATCTATCTATCTATCTATCTATCTATCTATCTATCTATCATCTATGAGAAATACCACTGATGCATCATCATGACATCTCCAGTACTGTAAAGCCTATAAACTTGAAATTTGGCACGTATGTTCCTTTTGGCTTCTAGGTGCTTGCTAAGAAAGGATTTTTTAAAATGACCATCAGATCATCAGTATTCCTTATTCAGTATTATATTAACACACGATGCTAAAGAGTCAGGTATTCTACTCCCCCTATCCCTCACTCGACCAGGCATGGGCATGGCCAGCTCATGACTCATCTGGCTTGCAGGCCTTACGTATCAATTTATCAAGCCCGATCACATAGTTTTATAGCGAAGCACGGGTTGTCCCTATCCTAGCCATAAACAAATGCTTTTCCTTCTGTATGAAGAAAGAGAGCTAACCCTACAAATTCACAATCTGTGTTGGCAATTGCAGTGACTTTCAGAAGCCAGTATAATTGAAAGCACTGGATTATCTGGATTGGCAAATTAATTCGTACAGTGAGAGTTCTGTCTGGACAAGCCTTGAAAAGATAGCATTCACCACGCCCCAGATGTCATGAAAGGAAAGAAAGAAATTAATTCTTGGTGGGCCTGCCAATTTTGTAGTGTACTGTGGGTCAGAAGAAAGAACAGGTATCCTTGGCTGAACTCTCAAACATTTTCACCTCTAGGTGGAACAGCTGCAAACAGAACAAACAAGGTGCCAACAACCGTCCTGTCAACCAGACGCCTTCCCCAGAAGGAGAGAAACTTCATAGTGACAGCGGCATCTCGGTTGATAGTCAAAGCCTCCACGATCAACAGCCACCAACACAAACAGCATCTCTACAAGGCAAGAGGAGGGGTCAAGCTGAAGCTGGGAGGGGAAGAAACCAAAGAGCAGGCATGCAATTCAGAAAGACAGGAAACGATACCAAAAGATACTATAGCCCTGGCAGACACCAAGAGGACAGTTAATCCAAGAACCATCTACTTTCTAGATCACATCCCTCTTGTGGCTTGTCCTGTAAATCAACCACTGAAATCCCAACTATGGTTTGCCCTGGGCAGATAGCAAGTATACACAGGTTTTTGTTGATGCAACTGTAACTAACAAACCAAGTAAAATTACAATGGGGAAATAAGGAAGGTGGGGCAAATAGCTTATTCCTCTGCCTCCACATTTCACATTTTTTTCCAGAAATATCAGATTTAGTGTTTTTCCCTTTCACTTCTGTCAAATTAAATTTATTACTGTGGAAATTCTATGTTTTTATTTGTACTAAAATTTGTATGCATTGTGGTACACATTGCTCTAAACTTTTTTTGTTATCTATTTTACTTACATACACTGTTTTCACAAATAATTATCTAATATAGTAGACAATTAGTAATATATATTTTTAGTATATAATTCATGAATATATATTTGGGTTAGACTTTTCTCTAATATATAATATCTCTTTTAAGAGATATTGTTGGTGAGCCACAGTGCAGATTTGAAAATTGGGGGTGGGATCTTAGTTTTGATCTATGTTTTATTTAAAAATGCAAAATATGGTCAAGTTGCTGTCAAAGATAAAATTAAACATAGTCTTCTCCCATTCCTGGGAAGAAGGCTGGTCTTCACTATTTTACAGGTGCCAATACGAATCGAAAGTGTGGAAAATTATTCGTTTCTCAAGAAATGCTATAGAACAGTGTTTACTTAATATTGAATTTAGGTTCAGATTTCAGTTCTAGGATATAGTTTGGAAAATCCATTGTTGTTGTTTTAGTGATTTCAAATCAGCGTTGATTCCTGGAAACTGCTGGGACAAGTTCTCGCAGTCTTTTTGGAAGTTTTTCAGATGTTTTGCCATTGGTTCCTTCCTAGAATTGAGAAAGAATGACTGACCCACCGTCACCCAACTGGCTTTATGCCTAAGGTAGGACTAGAACTCATGGTCTTCCAGGTTCTGTCCTGATGCCTTAACCACTACACCAAACTGGGGCTCTTGCCACTTTTCTACCATGCTTCATATTATTTATGCTAGAAGGTTAAGTCCAGATGAAATAAGTCCAAATACAAATATTTGCAGAGTAAAAACAACAGCTCTCAAAACTATACTTTTTTGCTTCCTATACTAAAAGTTGAGATCAATTTTCACTCTAGATGGATGAATTTATATGCAATTGGTATGAAAGCTAGTTTACTTCTATTAGGCAAATAGATATGGTCATTAAAACCATATTTTGCCTAGTAACTGGGAGACATTTTTGTACTTAAGGACATAAAATTAAATTATTTTTCCAAAAATTATATCAACTCTCACTCTTACTTCACCATGTAGATTATTTTGGGTTAAATTTAATTTTTTTTAAAAGATCAATCCAAGGATTTCACTTCAGGTTTAGGATTAGGGGCATAACCCATTGAGATCATATTTAAAAAACACACAATTTAGGAAAAATAAGGAATTTGTTAAATATACAGCAGGAAGCCTGGTGGTGCAGTACTTAGAATGCAGTACTGCAGGCAAACTCAGTCCATAGCTTGAAGTTCGATCATGACCAGCTCAAGGGTGATTCAGCCTTCCATCTTCCGAGGTCAGTAAAATGAGGACCCAGACTGTTGGTGGCAATATGTTATCACTGTAAAGCTCTCAGAGAGTGCTATAAAGCACTGTGAAGTGGTATATACAGTAAGTCTAGATCAGTGTTTCTCAACCTTGGCAACTTGAAGATGTCCGGACTTCAACTCCCAGAATTCTCCAGCCAGCATTCGCTGGCTGGGGAATTCTAGGAGTTGAAGTCCGGACATCTTCAAGTTGCCACGGTTGAGAAACACTGGTCTAGATACTATTGCTAGTGCAATTGCTATACAAGATTTTCAATAACTCATAGCAGATGAGAAAGAATCATTTTAGATTCTGAATGGTGCTGTTTTATCAAATTATATTGCCTACCATTGCAACTCTGCCACCCACTAGTTATGACTCACTCTATGAGCCCATTTCTTCCTCAAAAGATTTTACCAGGTTGATATCAACCTATGGCATGAGGTTTACATTTGAGAGAGTGGGCATTTGTTGCTTTTTGATACTTAGATCTTCTGCTGTTCCACTTCACAATTTCTACCTCTGTGCTCTTTGCAAACAAATAATTAGTGAATAGTATTTCTTGTAATGATAAACACTAGTTAATTTAGTCATAATGTATGTCATAAATCATAACTAACAGTGTCATAAAACATAGTAAGCCATAAATTATAAATTACAGCGTCTGAGTACATGGGTCATATTAAGCCAAAAAGAACTAACCACATTTTCCTTAAAACCAGTAAATGGAGCAAAGAGTAAATAAGAAAAGATACTCTTTTTCTATTTCGGGCAGTCCATGCCAACTGGACCATTATGAATAAATGTTAATATGGAGAAGAAGGAAAAAGTCTCCCTCAACATCATATGCATGTGGAAGAGCAGTGCATTATCTCCCACTAACCTTGGTGTGTCTTTGGTTTGGTTTGGTTTGAATGCCACTCCCACTCCTGGCAGTTTACAATAGTAACGAGCATAATAAAAACTGCATGAAGACTTGAATCGAACTGGGCTTAAAGGGCCTTTCAAAATTCTTCAACATATTCATGAATGGAAGAATTGGATAGACCATTTCTTTGACTTTCTCTAAGTGAACAAAGAACTCTCCTACAAAGGATAGGACTTCCATTCTGTGGAGACACAAACATCACTCCTGAAAAAGCCACATAAGAAGAATTTTGGCTTGAGGTTGGTTTGAGGTATCAGAAGCCAAGGAGGCTGGAGAAACGCAGCCCTCTGTCACTTCTTAACTAAGGAAGCTCAAGAAGGCCACAATCTTTTCTTCTTTGAGCTTCCTCTGCCTGATTCTGGGTTTTCACAGGCAACCCTGTCCTCTTTTTCTGCTCTCCACATGTTTAGCTGGGAGGCCTGAAGATAAGTTGAACAAGGATTATTTTAAATGTCATAGCTCTCCATGCCATCTGGAGTCCCAGAACACACAGCAAGCTGCACTGTATTCCACAGAAGCTAAATGCTTGGTGCTTAGTAAGAGCTGTATGGAAAGGGTGAACGAGTAGTCTTGTCCTTTACTCATTTGTAAGCCCAAATGGTGCTCAGATGACAATTTCTCAAAATTTGGAGCCACCATTCTTTCTTTCTACAAATGCATTGGGATTGTACCAAATGGGAAATCCTGGAACTAAAATGAATATTTATACATTTTTAATTTGAGAGATGTTCAGAACGGAGTGGTTACAACATTAATTGTAATACAGACAAAGAAAAGAATATCAGGATATTAATGTTTATGTCTATGTGAAAATAATGGTGGTTATAATCTTACCTGGATTATTTATAATCATTCATATTCTGCCTTGCCCAGTGAAGTTCATGAAATTATCCAGAAAAACCTTCATCCAAACCTTGAATATGATTTATCTTTGAAAGTATATTGATCTGTTTATATTTCTTATAAATCACAGAACACAAACATCAATAATTCCATGCTTTTCAGAATGTTCTAATACTATTTTTAAAAAAGATACTATAATATGTGCTAAAAAGAATATTTCATCAAAGGAATTTTACATGAAATGCAAACCTAGATATTTTATTGTGAAATCCATCTACAACATTTTTGCGCCAATCTCTCTCTCTCTCTGTGTGTGTGTGTGTGTGTGTGTGTGAGAGAGAGGGGGGGGGGGGGGAGGGAGGGAGGGAGGGAGGGAGATTATACAGAAATAGGATGGAATAAATTCACATGACAAAAAGAGTTTGAGTCTCCATAGTAAAGGATTATCTATGGCTCTCATAACAATAGCTGATAATTTCCCTTTCCCTCCTGGGCTTTCCCCCTGGATCATGCACAATTGCTGAGGATTGTTGTGGACAGCTAAAGCCTTAATGGTGTAGGGTCTGCTTGGGTGGGGAATTGGACTAGATGACCTACAAGGTCCCTTCCAATTCTATTAATCTGTACCATCTGTATTCATTTTAAATTTGTCACATTGTTCTGGGGCTATGTGTGTGGCATTGCCCCAATTGCTAAAACCAACTTTGGGAACATGGAATAGGTAAATGAGTGAGTAAAACTCTCATGCAGATGATCTTTTTTTAACCTTTATCCCAAACTCATTCCTCAATTTCAGGTCTTAAAGGAGATGGGAATCTTTACACTAGCCTGCCCCCTAACAAACGCGAGGAGGTTGAAAAGCTGTTGAACGGTTCCACAGAGGAGACATGGCGTCACCTGGCCGGAGAACTAGGCTACAAGGAAGATCACATAGACTCCTTTACACAAGAGGAATACCCCGTCCGTGCGCTGCTCTCTGATTGGTCCAGCAAGGACAGTTCCACCATGGATGCCCTTTATTCAGCCTTGCGCAAGATTCAAAGGGGGGACATTGTGGAAAGCCTTTACAGTGAATCCACTGCTAGCTCTCCAGTGTGAAGGAGGAAGAGGGGGCAGAGGTTAGCTCTCAGTTAGCTCCTCATTTCCCCTGCCCCACTGGTGCCTCTTGGAAGAAGAACATGTGAAGGAAAAATAGAGCTCATTCTTTCCGGGGACACTGGAACAATCCTGTAAGCACTGATTGTTATTTAGTTATTTTTCCCTCTCTGCCCTACCGTCCTGGTATTTTCGTCCAATAGTTCCTGCTAGTAACAGATAATAAGATGGTAAAAGCAAATGAAAGAAGGGAAAGGAAATGGATGTCTTGTTTATACTCTATATGCTCCTTAAAATCTCCTGGACCTATAGTGGACTGCTGATTCTGAACTGAGACAAGAATGAAGAAAGACATCCGTCCAAAGCGAATTGCTTGACTTCTCTTCCAGGTGCCTCTGACATTCATCCCATGTGCTTCTCTCATGATCCCATCGACATTAGTTCTCTTTCTTCTCTTGTACATCTTCTTTCCTTCAGCCACCAGTTTACCCTATTCAAGCACATCTGAAATCAGGAAAAAAACAAACCAAGGAGACCAGCCCGATATGCTACAGAGTGATGAAGGATTCAAAGAAGGCAGAGAGAGCAGGAATGCTGGGCCTGAAACTAGGAGACATATGGTGTTTAGAGGACAAAGTGAACATTTGTTTTGAGGCAACCTCCTGGAGGGTCTCTGAGTGGGGAGAAAAGAAATGTGGACCAGGTTTCTAGCTATCAAAACTGACAATATGAAGATCAAAGTGAGAAGTTAAGGGATGGAACCCAAAGAGAAAATAACCACATTTCCATCCAAGTATTGGTGACCACATCAAGACTATATTTGATCCTACCCTTGTTTTCTTGCTCAGATTCATTCTTCCTAGCTAATAAGGATTTTTTTTAAAAAAACACCTTTTCTCTTTTTCTCTTTTTGGGTCTGACTCAAACCAGTTTAAAGTCATATAAACCCTTGTTTAAAGGAGCCAGATAGTGGCCGCCTTGCGTCGCCATGTGCAAATGGGTGGCAATATAAATTTCCTAAATAAATAAAATAAGCCACACTGATGAGTGGACCTAATCAGAAGCAAACAAAGCAAGTGGTCAGACATATTCATTCATTTTCCAAGGTATGCTGCTTTGATGAAGCCACAACCTCTACGTTCTTCTTCAAACTGGTAAACCAATCACTGTGTGTTAAGAAGCTGTTATCTCTATTGCGTTATAAGGGGAAGCAAGCAAAAAAAAATCCCTTAGTGGCCTTACTGCACAAAGTAGGGAGCAATCTATATGAAAACATAGCTATTCTCAGAGGTAGAATTTTGTTGAATGTTATTCCTGTGTCAAGCCACTAAAGCAACCTGGTATTTTCTGTTTTCAAATATTAGAGGGATATGACAGTACTATGGGGATAACATGGTGGGGAAATTCTACAAGCTAACAAGAATCACCAAAAGCTCTTGGGCAAAAGAGAGAGAGAGAGAGAGAGAGAGAGAGAGAGAGAGAGAGAGAGAGAGAGAGANAAAAAATATATAAAAAAGAACAAACAATTTTTAAAATGCGTTGAATTCAACCATGAGCAACAGAGAGAAGGAGAGAGAGAGAGAAAGAACTAGAACTGAACATTTCCCTCCCTCTATTTGTATTACAAGATTAATGTTGCTTTCTTTTATTCTTATTTGGATGGTATTCATATAGACCAGATGAAAAGAAATGGTGGCATTTGAAAGCTGATAGGGTTTTAAACAGTTGACTGGGTTGTTCATGGGAATTTAGCTGCTCATCTTGTTTCTCTGATTTAAAACCATGGAGAAGAAATTTCTCCATCATATGTATGCACGCACACGTATATATAAATATATACTTAGAAAGTAATGGGAATACTTCCTGGGGAATGTTAGTTAGGAATGCTAATTAATTTCCTTTCTCAACCAAGAGATGATTAGGGAAGCTTGGCAGGCTGCACAAAGTGTTGCTATTCTGATCATTTTTCTGTCATCATACCAGTTTTAATGGTTTGCCTCATCAGAAAACTTCTTTTTTAACCTTGAAATTTTTGCTGTCAACAAAACTTAGTAGCAATTTTAAATAGGATAGTACAAACAGATTGAGAAAAGTTAATTACATTTTTGCTTTCTATTTAAAAACTTTTTACAGAACAACTAAAATCATGTCTTTATTCATAGAATGTTGCTATTACATAACAATGATAATAAAGCAACCAGAGGAAGAGCTAATAATATATCTAATGGATTCTTAAATTGTTTAGAAGAAAAATATGGAGATACATGGACGTACTTGTGGCCTTGCTGATTTTGGGTCTAACTACTGGCCCACCTAGCTTAACATTCTTCTTTGATCTGGAAGCAATCTTCATTTATTCGGACATAAGCCTTTTTGTATCAATTCTGAAACCCAAGGTCCCTTTTTATAGCATGAAGGGCAAAATGCTTGTGAAGACACACAAAGCAGGCACTTTACCTCAGAAATCCAACTCACAATCTAGTTCAACCTCCTCTTGGTATACAACTTGGAGATAATTCCAATGGCCCTTTTCTCTTCTTGTAGAGATATGTGCCTTGTGTTCAGTGACTATACCAAAGAAGCAAAACAGAGTGCCAAATGGTTTTGCTTTTCTTGAACATGCAATTAAACAACTCTGCCTTTTAAGATCTACATTAAGCCTGCCATTTTTCTTTGGGGACAACCAAATCTATACAGATTAAGAGATACAGGCAAGATAGAAACCCCACAGGAATTTTGGATTATAGCGAACTATAGCAAAATTTAGCAGGTAAATTTTGGCACATGACACATATGATTTGGAGCTTTTCCTGCAAAAGAGAGAAAGCCCTTCTTCTAAATAATATTCCTTATTGTTCTGAAGACAGAGTAGGAACAAGAAAACCAATAAATATAAAAGACTGAATGATTAGTATTCCTGAATAATAAAACTATGAGGTATAAATTGTCATATTGTAACTGTGTTTTGCAACAGCTACATCTCTTCCCAAAATCATGTTACCAACTGCATGATCCTAGGAAAAGATGGGACTATTTTTTAAATGTCGCAGAGACATCCTATGTCAAAGCTTCTTTTTGGAATGAAATCAGAAATGTGGTACAGTTGTATTAAATATCATAATCATGTGATTGATTTGCGCTGTTAGTACTTGCATATGAAGACCCCCTCCTCATATATGACTAAGAAGGACACAGTGTCAGTGAATTACAGTGCCTTTGGAGTACAACTTTTTCTTTTAACCCAGGAAATTTTTATGGGCTGTTCTTATGTTAACAGCCCATAAAAAGAGAGGGAAATATGATATGGTAAAGAAAGGCAGAGCTTAGTTGAAATTTGGCCTATTTTACCTGGAGTAACATAGAGTATATCTCTATAGCAGAGCCATGCTTAGTTGTAAAGATACAAGTATAGAAGAGAATAAAATGAGAAAATAACACTTTATTATAATTCATTGTGGCATATGTCTCCATTTTATTCACTGCATTGAGCACAGTAAATCTGTGGCTTTTCTTTGTGGGTTCAGATGCCAGACTATTCAAAAAGCTCGATAGTTCCTGCTAGTCTCCTGCTAGAAGATTGAAGGGGAATAATTGGTTATTTTCTTGGGGCTACTTAAAATGTGTATGGGAGAGTGTGTATATATGCAATACACACACTTCCAGGTTAGAATCCATGTTGGATTTACAGATTTGGTGGATCCAGGAAAACCCTCCTCCATTCCATTGGAGAAAGGAAGTTTCCAAAGTTGAACTTCTTCCTTGAAAATTAGAACTTTTTCTCCAAAAAAGTTGGTTGAATGACAATTTATAGTTCAAACCATTTTATGTCTTCATTTGTTTATGTGGGGGTTTTATATCTTATCCCAAAATACTGAATAAATATTTCTCTTGACAGAAGCATTGGACTGGTTAGTAGGTTTCACTGTGGCTAGCTAGTAAGTTTCAATAAGATAGACTGGAGATCTACTCCCTTCACTTCTATGTTGGCAAGGGTGGGCGACTTAAAAGTGATTGGGAGGAGAAAAAGGTCACATCTGCAATGTAAATGTAAATGATTTTGTAACCGCTGCATGGCCATGTACATGTGTACTGTGCAAATATGAATAACCTTATGGATGTATTACAAAAATCAGATGAGGAAAGGGTACACTATATTAAGTGTTCAGTTGAGCCCCCCCCCCGATGCAATTCGTGCATTTCAAGAGGTTTGAATTTCTCTGCCCTCATTCTTCCCTATCCCTTGAACCAAATTGACATCACAAAATATCCCCTAAATTTTGCAGCTCCTCCAAGTTTACTTTGCAATCAAAAAAGACAAACTGAGCAGATTTAGATAAACATACCTAATGGGCCTACAGCTGTTCCAGACATTTCGGTACAGACACAGATGTTAGCTTTTAATGATAAATATCCTGGAGTCCATGGCTGATGTTAAACTGTTATATATGTGTTTGAGTTCATTTCAACTAATTGATGAATTATAATTAGCAACTAATCAGTTTTGGTGATTAGTCAAGACTGCTGTGTGGCTAGATAGCAGCAAACCACTTTGAAGAGCAGCACCTTTGTTGAGTTATCATTCAAAAAAATCATTCAGTTTTATGTGTTGTATCCTTCTTCTTTTTCACAATAGCATGGGCTATTTAGTATCTGGGTGGTCTCTCGTCCAATTGCTGCTCTGATCCAAACCTGTTTACCTTTAGAAGCTCAGTTGAAGCAAAGGTACTTTCGTAAACATTGATTATAGCACTAGTAGAACATGTTTCTTCATCTGCACACTATAAAAAAGTGAAACCGTAATTGAATTTCCATTACCATTAAGGGACATTGTGGCTTTTCCATGCATTCATCCCATTGTATTATTCCATCCCTAAGTCCTTAGCACTATTCTTTTATCTTTTTAAAAGATGTAGCTTTGACATAGTCAGGAACATAATGCAGCTAAACCTAAGCTAGACAACCCCTTAATATCATTTTTTGTGTGTGATGTGGTTCTATTTTTAAATTTACTTTTAAATAGGACCAAAATATCTCCCCAGCTTTAGCTCTGTTACAGCAAAACAATACTTATATTGAACTTTCTGAAGAGTTCTATCCCTTTGATGTCATAATGCAAAATGTTTCTAGATATAACTGTTTTAACAAGTAATCAGTGATAAGGACTGGAGCAATATTTTTTAAAAAATTGTTAGCATAGCTTAGTTTTAATGTAACACTTAAGCATTAGATGGTTAATTTAAAAAAAATTGAAAAACTACTATTGGTCATACTGTTAAGCTATGACTGGAAATAATATTCTTTCATTTGTAACACACTTGAGAGACCGCCTACTGCCAATTACCTCCACTCGACCNTCACAGCAAAAGCTTTGTGTTTATGGTTCACAGCTCTCACCCTGATAGATCCCACGGTTGTCCAGACTGCTCTTCTCCTGTGGGATACAGAGACCTTGAAGCTCATTGGTTAACTGTATCACTTTAGTTCAGACAGAACACTCTTAATTTCATTCTCTTGTAGGGTTTTTGTGAAGAACTATGTACTTTGCCTTTAGCAAAGTATGAATTCAATAAATATGGAAAATAATAAAACTCACAAAGGAAGTGGGCAAAACAATTTTGCCTTGAATTCTAAAGTGCTGCCTGCACAAGTCTGGACGGGGAAAAACAAAGTGGATTCCAACTCTTATTATCATGTTAGAAGAAATTACTTATATAACTTCCAGGATGGAGTCAAATTCTGCCCATGTTGCGGGCAATACAGATGATGGTTCCCCAACTATTTTGGATGCACCTCTCTTTGGGTCTGTTCTGCCATCAAAGTAAATGAGGATTAGAAACTCCCTGATGTAAGGAAACACTAAACTTTCTTGAGAGTTCCTGGGATGCCATTTCGAAGAGCCATTGGACAATCGCTTATGCAGATAGCCTGCAGCATGTTCTCTTTACTGCTTGACTATGCCATGCCAAATTGGTCACTGCAAGAAAATAAACACAATAATGTCAAT